GAAGAGTTGCTGGCACGAAACTAGAACTAAAAAGTAAAATACCTGATTCGTCACAAGCAATTTCATAAAGACCAATCGAAGATAATTGAGTTAGCTCCGTTTAGCGAAAGGAAACGTCTGGAAATATTTTGTTTTTATCGTAACGGCCAAAGGGTTTACACCTGAAGAAATATAGGTTAAACATATCGCTTTCAACGGGCGTCATTACTCTGTATTAATTCATCTCCGATGTTCTCCGAGGATTTGCTAAATGTTCTGTAAATAGACATGACAATAAAAGACTACAACTGTTCATGTAAGACGCACGTAGCCAGAAGCTAGCTTCGAGTTATTAAATCAAATGTGTAACATCGCGTACTTTATTCTTTATCTTCTCTGATTAAAGAGTATATCAGTCCTTTGAATCAGTTCGAATTGTAGTGCGAGGGTTAAGGTAAAGACGAACGTAAACTTTGCCTAAAATGCTGCGTACCAAACCAAACTCAGAGCGAGCGGATCTCGCGTGGGGAGAACAGGTATTCTGCCAACACTTGAAACATAAATCTACGAGTTTAATTTCCTCACGCTAGGAAAATTATACTCAACGATATCTCATACAGAGCTTTTACTCTCGTCCTGCAGCATTCTTTCATCCTAGGCAGGTATTCTGAACATACAACGACCAAAAATATATTAAGATACCACGTGCAAATGAATTCATGAGAGCGATGTTGTTGTTATTATCTTGTTACTCGGAGAATTTCGATTCGCCCTTTGCGGCTTCTTCAGTTTTCCCATGCATACACATTGGTGTTTAGATCTTTAAACTATCAATTCGGGGAGGACAAGAAATGAAACCGCCATCTGAAAGCAGCTGTGGGTGAGGCCACCTAAGAATCTCTGCACTTACTTTAAAGTCCAATCAATAATGGCTCAAAATGGACGACAACTACGAGTGTAAATTACAAGTTTTTAAGCACTAAAGATCTCTAAAAAAGAATCCAAATTCAACTAGTAACGGTCTACGAGTGTTTTTTTGTTTAAAGGAATATTTTTTGTCACATGAAAAGCGAATCGACACAAGCAAGATAGAAATTTTGTCCGCCAAGCGAATCAATATCATCAGGCAGAAAAGAACACATTCGCATAGATACGCATCGAACGCACTTACCTAAACATATCTTATAGTATAGGCAAACCAAGCAAATTAATGCTTTGAATTTCATCCCACGCTATCGGTCCGGTAGCTTCACCATTAGAGACAGTGGTTAAGTGCTCCAAATTCATAGTCATGTCGCCCGAAATCCTAAGTCATGTCGCCCGAAATTTTATCGAGTATTTAAACTTGAAGAAAAGTAACATCTTAAGTAAATAGCAAGGAATAAACTTGTAAAATGTTGACTCGTGAGACTCAGGTTGTTCGTTTCGCTGTCGTTTGATATCAAGGAGATAGTAATCCTAAATCGATGCCGCTAGAGAACATGCAATGCACAACCAATCTATTCTTCCTCTAATTACTGCCAAACGGTAGGTGGCTTGGTCAATACCAGTCCCGCAGATACGATGCTGCCAAAAGCCGCAATCGTCGCACTGAAGGGCTTGCTGGCGTGGTTGAACTTCATTTCTGCACTCGATACAGGGATGAAGGCTCACTATATAATTCTTTTGCGTACGCGTAACGATCTCGTGTTTCAGCTAGCTGATTATCTCGGAATGAGGTGGCTGTTATTAATTTCCACTCTTTATATATGGTTAACCAGATCAAAATTTACATGCAACCGTCCGAGGAAACAAGAATCAACTGAACAAGTCGCGGTAATTTATGCTGCGCCTGATCCTACGGGGAATGATGCTAACACGCTTTGTTCGCGTGGTTAACAATAAACAAAAAAAAACCGCTGTAAAAGTTTCAGGTTGTTTTTTATACGATAAATCAAACTAAGAGAACTGTATTTTCTGATATGTGTGAAAAATTCTGATAACTGAAAGTGTTCCGCTTACAATTACTAGAATCTGTACTGTAGAATGAGAAGTTTAGTTCATAGCAACGAACAACGCTGAAATGAACAGCAATATTTGAGTCTTTGTTTTACTGCATATTCGCATGGGCTTGCGGACGAAAACATTTTACATACGAGTCAACATTTTACGAGTTTGTTCCTTGCGATTGTTACTTTTCTTCAAGATTAAACACTCGCTCAAATTTCGGGCGACATGACTTAGGATTTCGGGCGACATGATATGAATTTCGGGCGACATGACTCTGGTTATGGGCGACATGACTTCGGGCAAGATGACTTTCGGGCGACTTGACCGGTTACCCCTCACAGCCAGAGCTTTTCCCGAGTTCTATGGCATGAAGCCACTAAAAGCATTTCTTCTTCTCTAAGGAAATGTGTGGCATGTAGACGGGAACATTAACAAAAAGATCTTGGGAGTTAAAGGGCCAACAGTGTATGACATTTACGTTGATTTCCGTATTTTTGAAGGAAAGAAATGGCTGACTGGCTGATTTTAGCTCTATGGGTCTTATCAGGCAAGCTCAGTATATTATTGCAATTCATCTTTTCCCAATACTTACATATACAAGTCTTCTTGTCAGAAAGAAGCTCCATTCCTGTTGGGCATTCACATTTGGGTCCTGATGGCCTGTATAAACACAAATGACTACAGCCTCCATTTTTGCGCTGACAGGCATTGGAACCTAGAGGCCAAAAAAAGGTGTTTTAAGTGTAATAAGAAGGAAACATGGAATAGTCAAAACTAATTTAAGTATCAAATAAATAATGCTTCTTACCATAGGAGTGATTAAGGTTTACAGCTTTTAGTCCCATAAGATCAGGTAGGCTGTCAATCAGTACTCTTCTGTCTTTACCAGTTCTTTTGTTCACACTCTGTATTGACCTCTTCTGCCAGTCCGTCCAATAAAGATTATCCCCAAGTACAGTAAAGCCAAACACATGAGGCAATTCTTTATCTAAAATAATACGGCGGGCA